CCCCTTTGTGGATGATTGTAGAATATATGTTGGTGTGTGTGTGTGTGTGTGTGTGTGTGTGTGGTTCTGAATAGCAGCAGAAGTAGATTATTGTTAGGTGAGCAAACTGTGACGAAGACATGAAAACTCAGGGGGCTTGGGGGTGATCTGGGCTCTGGGGGTGCATGTTGCTTACAGCTATTTGGCACCAAAATTATTCATACTGAGGAGTCTTTGTCCTACACACACACACACACTTTCAGGTTTGCTTCATTGGGTTTAAAGTCTCCTCTGTTTGGCTTTAATACATTTTTTAATCTAATTCAACATTTTACAAGAAGCCAACTTCTTTTCTGTGTCTCCATCTATTTCCTTTCCCCACATTTTCCTGTTCATGGATGTGGCGCCTGTCTTCTGCAGTAACGGCGCACAAGGCAATGGGTACACCCTCAACAGGTCCACGGTGCATCACAGGGACACACAACGATAAGACACATAAACTCTTATACGTGCATGATTCTGGCTTGAGAGGAAACCAGAGTAACCCACACCTGCACAAGAACTCTGTCCCAGCTGGGAGTTCAGTCCAGGACACCCTTGTCCTAAAACCTCAGAACTACCAAACTGAGCCTCCGTGCTCCTTCTCTGCTTCTCCCCTGAATATCTGTCACATTTTAGAAACAAGACATCATAAAACATTGCTGATATTTCCAGATTTTAAACATCATGCAAACAACAGTCACAAATTTGTAACAATGGCTGGAATGTTGATTAAAACATAATTTTGTGAATTGATAAAATAATGATTAGAAAATACATTAGATGGTGTTTAACACAAGTACTGTTTATATGTTATATTATATGTATTGGGGAGGCTGTAGCTGAGTGGTTAGAGCAGTCATCCTCCAATGTAAGAGTTGGGGGTTCGATTCTACCAGCAGCCACATGCTGAAGTGCCCCTGGGCAAGACACTGAACCCCTCATTGCCTCCGATGTGTGTCCCATCGGTGTATGAATGTAATAAAGCTCTGATTATTCTTTGTACAGATCTAGTAGAGTGTTGTATGAATGGGTAAATGATGGCACAGATTGTGTTTTAAAGTGCTTTGAGTATCTCGATAAGATAGAAAGGCTTTGTATAAATACAGTCCATTTACCATATTTATTTCAACATCAGAAGCTCTTTGGTGGGGGGGTACCGCAGGGGTCCATTCTCAGTCCTCTTCTTTTTGCTTTGTACCTGCTGCCACTAGGTGCCATTTTTGGTAAACACGGCATCCCTTTTCATTTCTACGCTGATGACTGTCAAATTTACTTCCCTCTGAAACACATGGGTGCACGTTCTTTCCAAACTTTTGACTGCCTGGTTGATATCAGGGACTGGATAGCTTAAAATGTCTTAAATTTTAATCAGAAGAAAACAAAGTCATGTTGTTTCCTCCTAATGGCACGATCAAAAACCACTGTATCAACCTTTCCTCTCTTGCCCTGTTAGAGAAACAAAGAGTCACTAATCTGGGAGAGATGATGGACCCTTCCATGAAACTTAACAGTCATGTAAACACGTGTTAAATCCTGTTTGTTCAGTTGAGGTGACTGTCTAAACTGAAGCCCGTACTGTCCAAAAGTAACCCTGAGACAGTAATACATGCTTTCATAACATCCAGGCTTGATTACTGCAGTGCACTTCTTTTTTGTATCAGACCTCCATTGCATGTTTACAACTGGTTCAAAATGTTGCAGCCCGATTTTTAACCAGTATATGTAAAAAAAAAAGAGCACATTACACCAGTTCTGGCCTCCCTGCACTAGCTCCCGGTTCACTTTCGAATTCAGTTTAAAATACTTCTGTATGTTTTTAAATCTCTGAACACTGCTGCCCCCTCCTATCTGTCTGATCTGCTGCAGCCATATGTTCCACAGCGCACTCTGACGTCAACAGACCAGATGCTTTGATTGGTTCCAGGCACTTGTTGTGAAGGTCCAAAACTGTGGAATGAGTTACCACTGCATGTCAGGCAGGCTCTCTCACTGTTTTTAAGTCTAGTTTTAAAACTAATTTTTATTCCCTGAGTTTTGACACTGTGTGAATTGATATTAACTTGTCTGTATTCAGTTAGCTATAAATGAATAAAAAACAATTGTGTGTGTATATATATATATATATATATATATATATATAACATTTCCAGCCATCATCACAGATCCATGTTATTAATGACATGTCAGGTGTCATTAATAACCTGCATTATGGGCCTGATCTATGGAGGATTAAATGTAGCAGCATAGACCCAAAGCTTGAATAATGTGCTTCAGATGCTTGGCTGACCCTTTAGTTAACCACAGGGACGCTTCTTAAAAAATACTGGGTAAGATTTCAGGAGGAGAGAGAAAAAGAACAGACGCTGCAGAGGGAGACAACGAGACAAACAGAGACACAAACAGAGAAAAGAGTCTTTGTGCTCCATCTGTTGACTCAGGACTGTGATCTGAGTCTGACGACCACAGACTCTGGCTCCCAGTCTGACGGAGATTCATTCCTGCAGCATCGTCTCAGTGGAGCTGAAGACGGAGACATAACTTTCCCGCCTGTTGGAGTTAAAGCATCTTGAACACAAACAGATCCCAGACAATAACGCACCTCTGCTGCTGAGCTGATGGCCTGCAGGGATGCAGACCGATCCACCGTACCACAGCCCTCCATTAGTTTAAAGAGTGGCGCACCTGAAGCAGGTGTTGGCAGCTGAGTGGTTTACGACTGGGCTGAACTGGAATGTCCCACAACAACACGAACAACACAAACACAAAGGAAGGAACTGCATGTTCTGCAGTGTCTCTGCTCAGTACCAACACGTCAAATGAGACAAAACTCGTGAACAGAATAAAAACCAAAGCTAGAAAACAGGAAATGAAGTTTCAGTTTGTGGATGACAGCAGCAGCCTCACAGGTGAAACCTTCTGAGTCAAACCATTTAAGTTTGATAAAGAAATTTAGAGTTGCGTAACTTTGAAAGGTGGGGATTAGAGGGAATCATAAAATTCCAGATTACAATCATTCAAGACTATAAATGAAAATGAAAGGCCGAGCATATCCTGGAGGATTTCACATCGTCTGCTGCCTTTCTTGCTTTTCAGACTGAGAGCTCATCCGTTTGGATCAAACCTAGAAAAGATCAAAATGCCTGATTTTATGTGACATCTCATATGATCAAATGTTGGGAATGATTCTCATTGATCACCACACCAAAGTTTTCCACATTATCAGTAAAATTCACTGAGGTATAGCATTTCTTGTCGACTATAGTTGATTAGTTGTGGCAGGCATCTTGAGTTAGAAATGGACCATCGTTCAATAGGACAACTATTCTTATCAAACCCAAAGCTTCTTGATGTTCTTTTAATTCCAGGTTTGACATAAATCCATTAATGGTATCAATTCTGCATACAAATCCCCTCAACACGAAGTCAAGTCAAATTTATTTATAAAGCACATTTAAAACAGCAGCTGTTGCTGAAGTGCTTAACAATAAAATCACAGCGACAAGATTTGATTAAAAGCATCACAAATAAAAACAAACAAAATGAGAAACAATGGGATAATAAATCAGATTTTTTTCTTCAGATAATTTGATCAGATGAAAGCTACGTTTAAGCAGGATTGTTTTTTAATTCTTTATTGAGGAATGGATTATTGTTGAAAATCAGTCAAACGTCACCTTTCCATGCAGCGTGCACCATGTTTTATCATTTATTCAGCGCGTCACTAAAAGAGATTTTGTTCTTTAACGATGCTCAGAAAAGAGTTTAGTAGTTTTTCAGATATTTTGACGTGTGGGTCCACACTTAGTGGGAACAAAACTCGACTAAATCCATTAAAAACCACACAGAAGCCTGAGAATTGACCTTACTCCATGTAAATGTTGTCTACAAGTTTAATTCCTGACCTATTTTCAGTCACTTTGGTTGTTTGCACAGCTAAACAAATGCACTTCGTTATTTGCATCTGGCAACAAATTTAGCTGAATTATTATTTTTATTTAAAGACATTAAGCATCAATATAAAAAATAGAGTGGATTTTGTTTTACTTTGTTTTTTGACATGTTTAATATTTTTGCAGTGAGTGCATTTATGTTGGACACATTTCTGCCATTTTCCTTGTTTCACCTCCCGCTGACCCCCCCCTCTCTGTTCCTGACAGTTTGATCCTCATCACTTGAGCCCAGTCCAGCTGTGGTTGAAGCATCTGGTCCATCTGTGTCTTCAGGATGAAGATGAGACAGCTCCGTGTGCCGAGCGCCTTCGTTCTGCTGACTCTGGCTGTCCTCACCACAGCCAGGCCCAAAGCAGGTCCGGTCAAACATCATTTTACTCTGAAACATTTGTAATGACAAAATCTGCTTTGCTTAAGTAAAATTAATTAAATAAAGCAGATGTAGTATGAGTTAACCACTCAACAAGGCTGTGGGAAGTAGGGGTGCAGAGGGTGCTGCAGCCACTCCCTGCATGGACCTGTACCTGTATGTCCAAATACATTTTTAAAGAATTACTAATACAAAAGGGAACTAAAAACACAATTTGTAAGTGCATTTGTTTAAATTCTTATATTATTTGACATGACTGATTTTTATAATGACTGTGTACAACATTTAAATCTGCTGAAACCCACAGAGAGCAGATTATAATTCAGTCATGGTATTACTTCATAGATATTTGTTCAAATTAAACATGTTCATCATGTGCAGCACTTTGAATAGACATTGCTGCGATGGAATGTTTTTATTCCTTTTGCAGCATTTTTTAAAAAAAACTATAGTTTAACATTTAATAAAATTCAGAGCAATGCAAAATACTAACGTTCTATCAGTTCTGTATTTTTTTACTCAATGCCCATGTGAATGTGAGTCATGCTTTCATCTAAAGACGATATTTTATATCGTTTTTATAACGTGCATTTGAAGGGGATTGACTTTACATCTGCATGTGACTTCATTTATGAGGCCAGAGTTGTTTTATAAATATTAGAAAGCTGCCGTTGCTCATGTCTGGTTGAGCCTGAAGACAGACGCTCCCACGAGGCTTCTTATTCTGACGCGAAGCCTTTGTGGTTTTCAGCCTTTTCTGAACGTGCATTAATCAAATAATCACGTTCCAACTCATAAAACCACAGCAGAAAACATCGTCTCCTCTCACCTCGTTCGTGGCTGCACCGTCCTAACGTTACAACATGAAACGTTAAAGACTAAACCAGGCGCCTTAAGGCAGCTGGAAACAACGGAAAAGTCAAGTCAGGTGGTAAAGAGTTGAACCTTAAACCAACAGGGCCTGATTCGAGACTAAAGGAGTTCTAAAAACAGAAACTCTTGTTAAAGCACAGATTTAAACAGTTTATTGTTGCATACGGCAACTTCAGTTCTTGCTCAACAAACAGTCAAACCGCAGGAAAACAAGAATTGATTCTCAAGTTCAAGTTTCTTTATTGTCATTCGCATCATATGTGGTACATGAGGTGGAACGAAATTGTGTACTCAGGGTCCCAGTTACACCTAAAAATAACAAAAATATAAAGTATAAAAAACAACATATAATAGAAGATATATGCTAAACACTAATAGTCCCTCACTACTTTTGCGGTTCGTTTATTGCGGATTCGCTATATCGCCGTTTTTCAAAATAAGATTGGACATGAAACAACTGACTGATTGTTGGATGAGTCATGGACTGTTTATTTAAAATGAATTATTTTAAATTATTTTGCACCATGTGTGCAGCGCACAAAAGTTCCCTCCTGCAGCTGATCAGCTGATCTCCTTCTCTGCCACGCACACATTTCTCCTGCAGCGGCTTTGTGAAGAGTTAACCCTTTGACCCATTGACTTTTGTCTTCCAACTTAAAATTCAAAGTATGTCACATCGTAAAATCATCATAATCACAAAATATAAAAGTGTTAAAAGTTATTTTTAATTATTTTAGGACTTCTATGTTCATTGGTTCAGCATGGATAAACAATCCATACTGCATGGATTGTTTATTTAAAATCTTACAGTATTTAAATTTTAAAGGAGGGAGTTCGGGAGTAACAGGTGGTGAGTTAGTGTGATTACAGCCCGGCACATGTCACGACAAAGTTTACTGAACTTGGACTTGAACTACTGTATCCCTACCTTGCTGTTTTTCATTTATCGCGTGTGGGCATGGTCCCTGACACCCGCGATAAACGAGGGACTACTGTAATGTAAAATAATGTGGTATTTTAAACAGCAGCCCGAACATGAGTCTGTAGTGAGTAGATGGGTATGAATGAATAAATACAGCAGCATGAGATATTCTCAAACTTATCTCAAAACTTAGCAGTGTTTGTTTTTTCTTTTGATAACCAATTATTTATTTTACTCGTGTTGCAGGTCCTGACCAGAAATGTAAGTCTGGTCCGGTTGATCTGGTCTTCCTCATCGACAGCTCCCGCAGCGTTCGGCCACACGAGTTTGAGACCATGAGGAAGTTCATGATTGACATCCTGAACACTTTGGATATCGGACTCAACACCACAAGAGTGGGGGTTGTCCAGTACTCCAGTCAGGTACTGGTACACAGAGTCCTGTCCTCCTTTTATTGGATATGTTTTCATTTCATGGCAGAAAGGTGGAACAGCTCCTGGTGACACTGTCATCCTTCTTTGTGTTCAGGTCCGCAGTGAGTTCAGTCTGAAGACCCACAACAAGCTGGAAAACCTGGTGCAAGCCATCAACGAGATTATCCCTCTGGCTCAGGGCACCATGACGGGCCTGGCCATCAGGTATCTGATGAATGAAGCCTTCAGTCCTGAGCAGGGAGACAGGCCCAAGGTACACATGTTTCATAAATTGAACCTGTTTGATAAGATAATTACTCTGAATAAAGATCCATGAAACTTTGATTTCAACTAGATAAATAAAGATCAAAAAAGCAAGGGTATAGTCAATAATCAAATGTAGCATGGGAGTAGAATAGAGCAAGTTTGGAGAAGCAGATTTTAAAGAGAACACATTTTTGGACGGAACTGAAAAGATCTCAACACATTTCTGTAGTGAAAATGTACGTATTTATAGCTAAATATTTCAAAAGTTGTACATTTGATCATGATCTGTTGTGGTTTTGGAACCCAAAGTGCACACGGACGTGGGGGACTCGAGGATAAAATAAAGAATATTTATTTAAATAAACAAAAAGGACTGACGTGGCAAAAACACACGTACATGGACTAGGAGACAGGGAGGGAGAAGAGAGCATGACGTCATCCAGGACAATTCGCCGACAGGAGAACAACAAGGAAACGCAGAATATAAGGAGACGCTAACAAGTGAATAATAAAACACCTGGGGGAGGACAATGAGGGACAGGTGCAGCAGGAGTTGGCAACACGAGGGAAACACTGAGGAAGACTTGGCAGAAGACAAGAAAACCATAAAACACACACAGATCCTCTGAAACGTCACAACAAACAAAAGCCACGTCTCCTGACTGAGCTCAACGTCTTCACGTATGAGACTGCGAAACTGTACGGAACAATTAAAACGCAGTGAAACAAAAGTGGCAACTAATAATGGCAATGAGGCAACTTTGAGTTGGGCCATTTATCATGAATAAATGTTTAACTGCGTGTTTTTATGTTATAATGATTTTGTCTTGGTCTTGTGAGGTGAAATTTTTTGGCCATCTGTCACATAAAGAGTTCATTATTGTCAAGGGAGTGTGCATCATTTTCACTAACCATAATTTTCGTTGTTCTGTACTGGGATTGTGAATTATATTAAAATAGTTCATGTAATAATCAGTCTTGGTGTGACCGGTCAGTAAGAGATAGTTTTTATTTACCTCAAGCTGATTGATGGAATTACAGAGACGTAACTTTGGAGAGTCCTTGAGATCCGATGGCTCCCAGATCCCTCCTGCTCCTGAATGCAGCTGGATCTCTGCTAACAGCTGGACAGGGCAGGAGGAGCTGAGGGGCCTGACGGCTGGAAGGTTTAAACCAGGGGTACTCAACTGGCGGACTGCGGGCACTTTTCGGCCCGCAGGTGACTTCGATCTTGCCCACTTCATAATTATTATTTTTTTTAGGATTTTCTTTTTTTTTGGGGGGGGGGGGGTCATCTGAGTTTGGGTTTTGGGTTCTGTTTATTGCATTCATGATTCAATGCAATAAAATAAATTTAAAAGGTAAAAGATCATTGTAAAACTTGGTTTATTTGCATAATGACTTTAATCGCTGGATGTCCGGCCCCCAAGCTGCTGGCTTTCAGAAACTGTGGCCCCCTGAGCAGTTTCGTTGAATATTCCTGCTTTAAACTGATTTTTTCAGTTCAGGAAGTCAGAACGGGTCAGCGCCTCAGACAGGTGAAAGCACTGATGAGTGTGAACTTGTAAATGCATCGATCCTCTCTGACTCATGGGTGTTCTCCAAAGCTTTGTAATAAATCTGATGACGCGTACACCCGGTTGTTTTGGGAATCTCTTTTTTCCACAACAATTTTATTTAATAAAGGCTCTTTTGTTAAGTTAAACCTTTGAATCTCCAACGCTGAATATATTTTCATCATGGATCTTCTTCCACCTGGTCTGGTGGTTTTCTCCACCTTTAGGTTCCCAACGTGGCGGTGATTGTGACAGATGGGCGTCCTCAGGACCGCGTGACGGAGGTGGCAGCTGACGCCAGAGATAAAGGCATCGAGATCTACGCTGTGGGCGTGGCCAGAGCCGATATGACATCACTCAGGGCCATGGCTTCCCCGCCCTTTGAAGACCACGTCTTCCTAGTTGAGAGGTTTGATCTCATTCACCAGTTTGGACTGCAGTTTCAGGACAAACTCTGTGGTAAGACCACTGGACGAGGAAATGACCCCACATCATGTTTGCTCTTTTTATTATATACAGTACATCGGTTTAGATAATTTCTCTGTCAATAAGGAACTTTTAACATGAAGAGTGACACATAAATGTTGTTGAAGGAAACTATTAATCTATAAAGATTATCAGATACTGCTTTGATTTTATTTTTGTGTTTGGATTTCAGATTAGTAGTTTTTCCACTGTTCTAGTAAATATAGCTCATTGAATAAAAGCAGCACAAAATGAATACAGTTGTTGTAATGGAAAAACCCAAACCAGCCCGAGACAGCATTAAGCACTGAAGCTCATAAATCATCTGATCTTCAGGGAGTCATTCTTTCTCAACTTAAGATCAGGTTTTTATAAAAGCCCCTTCTGAAAACCAACCTACGCATTTAAATCCACAGATGGATTACTTTTATTTGAAGTCATATTAGCACAAGATAAATAAAAACCTGTGGCCAAGTACCTGAAAATTAAAACTTCATGCAGTCGGGGTCAGCAGAGGCCAAGCAACATTCTTTATGAAATGTGAAAACACTAAACGTCTAGTCTGGAGTAAAAAAAAAAAAAGTCTCCATCTCCTCACAAAAGGTTTAAGACATTTTCACGAGAGACTCTTCAAATCCCTTTAATACATTTTCTTAAACATAATTTAATTTAAAAACAAAACTGCTGGTAAAGTTTTCAGTGAAACAGAATGAGGCTGTTTTACTGCAGGTTGGCCATTAGTAGTTCTTTTAGTTGAATCCCATAACCATAATTATATAACAACTAGAGAAACTGCATTTCCTGCAAAACTGCCGTGTGAATGCTTATTGCTGTAGAACTTGCTGAAAAACAGCTGAAATTAGCTAAAACATGCATGTAGCTGAAATGGAAGAACAAGAGAACGCTTAAAGAACACATAGTTGCTGAATTAGGGTTAAAGAAGCAGAAATGAGCAAAAAAATGTGGAAATTGGCTAAAAAGTTGAAATTAGCAAAAATAAAAATTAATTAAATAGCTGAAATGTAGCTGAAAAGGCAGAAAGAAATTTACCAGAAGGATGTGGAAGGAGCTGAAATGTGCTAAAATGCTTGAAAGGGTAACTGAAAAGGTAGAACAAGCTTAAAATGACAAAAGAAAGAATAAAGAAGCAGAAATTAGTGCAAAAAAAGTGGAAATTAACTGAAAAAAGAAGAAATTTGCAAAATAACAAACAAACAGCTGAATAAAAGCTAAAATAACAGAAATAAGCTACACCAGAGGCAAGTGGAGCAAACACTTTTTTGCTGAATTAGGCAGAAAAAAGTTGAAATGAGTGGAAAATATGTGGAATTACCTAAAAATGCTCAAATTAGCATAAAAACAGCTAAATAGTAGCTGAAATAGCAGAAATAGCTGAAACACAGAAATAATCTGAAAGGAGCAAAACAAACTGAAATTGGCAGAAAGAAGTTAGAAGGAGCACAAAAACATTGTAGTTAGCAGAATAAAGCTAAAAGAGCACAAAACAGCTGAAATGAGCCGAAAGTAGCTGAAAAAGAGTTTACATTTGCAGAAGGAAGCTGAAAGAAGTTGAAGCAGAACAAAATGTGAAAGGAGCAGTTAAAGTTTGTAAACAGATCTAAAGATGTGAAGGATGGAAAATGAGCTTAATTCATTTCCTTAAGAGAAAAAAGTGGCAGAAAAGGCTAAATATTTCAAAAAAGCTAAAGTTGCACCCATACCAAAAGTCAGCAGGATTGTCCCGAACGAGCTGAACGTTTAGATTTATGATTTGTTGAAATAGTTTCAAAACTGCAGGACGTAGATCGCGCCGAGAAATGTACAGAAGAAAAATGGATCACAATAGTGTGAATGTTTTATAAACACTCACAGTATTACATAATGTAAGGTTACAAAGTGATTACATTTAAATACTTACAATGTATCTAAAATAATATAAAAGTTATGCAGTGTATGTATAAAGGAAAACGTGTAATAATGTGAAATAATACAAAAATAAGCCCCGTGATGTTCCACTGATAAGACAAATACATTAAAAACATGCAAGAGGCTTGAATAATATGATTATCATAGTTAGTTAAGTTCCATCTTTTCTCCATTTAGCTTGTAATCTCAAAGGGAATGGGATTTTTATATACCGTATTTTTTGGACTATAAGGTGCACAGGATTATAAGATGCATTAAGCGAAATAAATTCATTTTGACAGATTTTGGAGCGTTGTGTAGCACATAAAATCAGTTCGAGGTCAGTAAGCACAACCAGAATTAATACATATGGTGCACTGGATTATAAGGCTCACTGTTTATTTTTGAGAAAATTAAAGGATTTTAAGTGCGCCTTGTAGTCCAAAAAATACGGTAATGGACAAAAAAAAAAAAAAAACAGTATCACACCGTTCTTCTAATGCCAGGCCCAGTCAAAAATACTGACCTACTGGTAAGCTATTCACACAGAAACAACTAATATTTTTTAGACAAATACATTATTTTTAGAGTCTCTATTTCAGCATTCATGATTAATAATAGAAAACTTTTTTTGAATATTGAGTTTAACAGCTAGAAAAGCTGATATAAAGAAATGGCCTGAACTAAAAGTTGTTACTCCCGTTGATGAAATTATATTTATTATAACTGCAAACCAAACAGAAGTGATATCACTGTCATTATTGAAGTGCAACAAAAGGTAAAGTAAACTTTCAGCAGATCGTCTTGTGCTGACGTTGCTCTCCGGTGCTGCAGGTCTGGATCTGTGTGCAGAATCAGAGCACGGCTGTGAACATCTGTGTGAGAGCTCTCCAGGCTCGTACCACTGCCTCTGCCTGCCCGGCTACCGGCTCAACGATGATGGAAAAACATGCGCAGGTAAGAAACACAGTGCAGTTTCAAACATTTATGTAGGTTCAGCATTGTACATTTTGTAAACAATACAAGTTCTGCCTTAGATCCAGATATTTTGGCTTAAATTACACATTGATTTAGTCACTTTTCAGGGATAAAGGCACTGTAATTCAACAATTAAACCGGATAGAAAAACCACTTTAATTATGTTGTTCATGTGTGTTTGTGCATATTCAGCTATTGATCTTTGTGCTGAGGGAAAACACAACTGTGCACAGATCTGCAGGAGCTCACCTGGCTCCTTCACCTGTGACTGCAACCAAGGATACAACCTGAACACAGACAAGAAGACGTGCTCACGTCAGTCTCACACAACACACACACTTTTTAAAAATGTAACACACACGTCGCTTTCTTCAGCAAAATGAGAGCAGTGAAAAAAATGACAAAAATACACTTTTTGCAAATGACAATGACATTTTTGCAGTTTGTATAAAATATTTAAATATTGAGGAAGTAAATGTTGGATAAATTAATGACCCTTTCATCATCTCATTAATAAAATACCATATTTTCTGCTGTACATGTCGCTTCGCCCTATAAGTCGCATCTATTATGAGTCATCACTGATGCATCACGTTTGTTACACGTCACCACTGACAACCTGGAAATATGAGCTGATATTGTGCCAAAAATTGATTGGCTGCCAAATGGCGGCCACGGGAGCATGCACGGGAGGACTTTAACAAGAATTTAACAAGATTTACAATTAAAACAATTATTTGTTTGCATGAAATTATAGTAAAGTCTCAGTATATTATTATATATTATTTCCTTAATAAATGCATTTTGTCGGTCAAATCAGTTGTATTTCAAAAGCCGATACGTGGAAGTAAGCGCATGCATGGCAGGAATCGCTGTGCATTTCTTTGAAATTTAACAGGATAACCACCTAAAACAATTATTTGTTTGCTTGACATTATAGCAAAGGTGTGTCTCAGTTGAACTTTTACTTAATAAATGCACTTTAACGGTCAAATTAGCTGCATTTCACCGGGGCGGCGCAGCGAAATGCAGCTGATTTGACGTTTGCTCCAAGTGAGCTGGACAAAGGTGGCAGGCTTGGGCAAGCTGAATGCGTCATTAATAACCACTTTTTACTTATTAAACATAACGGCATGCCATATAGCTCGACTGCCATCTTGTGGCTGAAAATGGTAGTGTTCAATATTTTCAGTCAGAATGAATGAAAACAGTCAAATCTCAGCCAAAAGTTGGTTTATAAATATGGGAAAATATCCATAAATACGTTGCTTTGGCGTATAAGTTATATGGCATGCAAATTATGCAAAAAAACTGCGAATTATAGGCCAAAAAATATGGTAAGCCACACTGAGGATACGAGAAGATCTTTCAACCCAGTTTTTTATTTGCAAGGGGGCAGAATTGAAAACAGGCTTACACAGATGCTACATCGAAGCTCCAGTCACAAGGTCTGCCCACAGACAGTATGGAGGCATCTATTTATGCTTATCAGACAGAGAGAGATCAAGACAACCTCTGCTTTCCAGCTTACAGATGTGAAGACGTCAGAAATTATACTATCATTACAATTGACTATTATTTACTGCAGTCACATGCCTCCAGATCTGTAGCCTTTATGTAACAGGAAAGATTTATGTGCAGCAACAAAATAAATTGAACAACCACAGAACCTGGAAACATTCACCAGGAAACAAGTTTCTACATTTTCCTGCATGCTGCAGACGCACCCATTTACAGAAACTGAGATTTTTACACAGCAACATCTGCAGCTCCGGATATTGTTCACAGGAAATAAAACTATTTACAACCTTTTGACAACCAGAGACTCTGAGTCAGAGGTCTTCAAAGCACAAGCACCGTGCAATTGTTGCCAACATAAAAATGTGTTTTTAATGACAGGTTCTCAACTATTTTGATTTATAAATATCATATGAATGCAGGTGGTATTTAAATGTTAGAAACTACGTGTGCGAGATGCAGTAAATCTTTTTACCTCGTTGGAAAATAGCTGCCCTAAAACATCACACATTTTATTACGGAACAATAGTTGAACACATAATGTGTTTGTGATTCAGCCATCGACCTGTGCGCTGAGGGAAAACACAACTGTCAACAAGTGTGTGTCAACATGGGGCCGGGCGTGTTCACCTGCGACTGCAAGGAGGGCTACAGACTCAACGAGGACGAGAAGACCTGCTCAGGTTGGACAGAGCGTCTCAAAAATACGCACAAATAAAACATTTATACACACAGACAGCGTGAGAGGATTCTCTTAGACCTCAAAGCTGGTTCTTTGCCTCCCTGTTTTTGGTCAGTAATAGATGAAACGTGCTGCTGATCACTTCACATCATGTAACGTGTGATAAATGGATATAAACATAACGTTATAAGTAAGGATTTTGTATCCAAATGGCATTAATTTTTCCTAAATCCTGACTCAGGTGTCAGTAAAGTAGGAGATTATTAAATTATTATTATTAAGATCCATCCATCTACCTATTCATTTATCCTTCATCTTCCACTTATTCTGAAGTCAGGTCTCGGGGGCAGCATCTTGAGCAGGGAGGCCCCGACATCTCTCTCCGCAGCCACCTCTTCCAGCTCTTATAGGGGGGACCCCAATGCGTTCCCAGGCCAACAAATAGAGTATGTCTTGGGTCTTCCCTGGGGTCTCCTCCCAGTTGGAAATGTCCAGGGCGCATCCTTACCAGATGCCCAAACCACCTCAACTGGCTCCTTTCAATGTGGAGGAGCAGCGGTTCTACTCCAAGTCTCTCCTGATAACTGAACTTCTCACCCTATCTCTAGGGGAGAGTCCAGCAGAGGAACCTCATTTCAACCTCCTGTATCTTCGATCTCATTCATTCGGTCACTACCCAGAGCTTGTGACCACAGGTGAGGGTAGCAACGTAGACCGACCAGGTAAACAGAGAGCTTTGCCTTATAGCTCTGCTCCCTCTTCACCACAACGGACCGGCACAGAGTCCACAACTGCAGACGCTGCACCAATCCATCTGTTAATCTCATCCTCCATTCTTCTCTCACTCGTGAACAAAACCCAGAGACACTTGAACTCCTCCACTTGAGGCAGAACATCACCCTCGACCTGACGAGAACAATCCACCCTTTTCCAACAGAGGACCATGGCCTCAGATTTGGAGGTGCTGATTCTTGACACTAGGCTGCGAACTGCTCCAGAGAGAGTTGAAGATCATGGCACAATGACACCAACAGGATCATATGATATCTTTGGAAGATCTTAAATCTAATGCAGCTGTTTGTGTTCACTGTTTGCATGTCCTGATACAGAAGATTTCATTTGAAATTTTATGTTTGTAAATTTACTAAAACCTAGATTTGGATGACCCCTACAGAGGTTGGATAAATAAAATGTTCAGGACACCAATGATCACCTCACAACTGTCAAACTTTGTCTTTTTATGTCATATTAGCTGATTTATAAATAAATACATATCAGTCTAATTAGTAACAATTTGCAAACAATGCTGGTTTAGTTTGGAAAACGTGTGTGTTCTACACAACATACTGTATTTAACTCGTGACTGTTTGTGATTCAGCCATCAACCTGTGCGCTGAGGGCAAACACGACTGTCAACAAGTGTGTGTCAACATGGGGCCGGGCGTGTTCACCTGCGACTGCAAAGAGGGCTACAGACTCAACGAGGACGAGAAGACCTGCTCAGGTTGGACCTGCACAAACCTCCAAACACATTCATCCATCTGGTGATGACACATCTGTCCCTGCTTCTGTCTGAGAACACAAATCTTTGTCAAGGTCACATATCAAGGTCAAATATTCCACAAGGTCTTTGCTTTTCCGGGCCATTGCTATACATTACTGTATGGAAGGATAATGGTTTGTTGAAAGTTGTATAATATGCATGTCGATGGGCATATAATATGCATGTGCAGTACTCTTGTTTTTGTTTGTTTTAATAATATAAAATATTTGCTGCACCTGCATCAACTTGATGTAAAATGTTGGCCACACTTTAAAGTCATCCCTTTTACATACCTCAACAACATAAGGGTTTGTATTTATTTGATATGAGATGAAAAATTACCCATACATTCCAAATATCTTCTGTTTTCTTGTGCTTTTTTAATGAAAATCTAAAATAACAAAACACAACATCCGGCTCGAAGGACCATGTTAGATACAAAAAAAGCATATTTGAGTATTTTAAAAAGCGCTATACAAATAAAACTTATTACTATTATTATAATTATTATTATTAAATTAAATATCCTTTATTCATCTCTTTAATCAAATAAGTCACTCTGAGGTCACAAAAATACTTTTCAACCCAGTTTTATTTGCAAGGGGGCAAAATTGAAAACAGGCTTACACAGATATTACAATGAAGCTCTGGTCACAAGGTCTGCCCATGGACAGTATAAAGAAGTAATTATTTTACAATGCTTATCAGACAGAGACAAGGTCAAGACGGCCTCTGCTTTCCAGCTTACAGATGACGGAGGAGGCCTTGAGGTTTATCAGAGAGGCAGGCTCCGTGCTCCTGCAGACACACAATCCTCTAACTCACATTAATTTGACATTACTGGTAGTTACTAATAAACATCCATAAACCTTTATCTAAATTCTCCTGACAACACTAGTTACAAAGCCCACCAATCACAAAAATAAAGTTATTTAACTGGATTTAAAGCTTGTGAATAACTGTATGTGTGTGTCTGTGCGTTTCAGCCATCGACCTGTGTGCCGAGGGGAAGCACGACTGCGAGCAGATCTGCATCAGCGCTCCGGGCGTCTTCACCTGCGACTGCAACAAAGGATTCAAACTCAATAAGGACAAGAAGACCTGCACAAGTCAGTGAATCCATGTTTTTATTTTACTCTTTAACATCCCTGATTGAACTGATTTGTCAAGGAGTTTTAACATGTTGCTCTTTTTATTGCACGTCTGCTACTTTCCTGTTCATCTATAAAATAAGCTCAGGAGCTAAATTACTCTGTTCAGCCACATGTTGAAGGTTTCATGACCAACAGCAAACGTTCTTCAACCTGTAACGGTGGATACATTCCTGACATAACTCTGTCTGTGTCTCTGTGAGGTCATACGGTTTTGTTTAAATGTCTGACATGTAATTTCAGACATGGATATGTGTAAGACAGTGGAGCACGGCTGTGAGCACCAGTGTGTGAGCACCCCTGGGTCTTATCACTGCATCTGCCCTGAAGGACAGCTACTGCAGGACGACGGCAAGAGCTGCGGCAGTAAGTCCAAAATACGACCTGCCTGAACAGACGCTGGAGCAAACTCATCCCAGTAAAGTCCAACTGGACCTTTTTAATAATAGTTTAGAATATGACGATGAAATTACATTGAAGTGCTGTCGCTTAAGTTTTGAACCCGTCTCAAAAGTGCAAAAGTATTTTGACACCTGCATGGGAGCTCTCCTCTGACAGAAAACGTCTAAAAATCCACTTGTGGATAAATAATAGATATTTTGCCTCTCTTCATTTCTAAAGTATACTTCATTAGATTCAATCATAATCATGGGACAGCTGGTGAGGTGGATACAAAGTGAACTAAGAGCTGTGATGTGGGTAGAGGTGAGTAATAAAATGTGTGCACGGCCAAGATTACGGTTTTAAAACACCATGATGTTCAAACGTTGGCTGTACAAAATGCTTAGCACTGGTCATTTGGTGATAAACATGCAGACTTCAGTGCAACAGCATAAATAAATTCCTTCCAAAAACTTACAAATTCTGACTTTTTAATGAAAAAAAAGTTGAGATTTCCATCCATCCATTGTCTTTTACCCGCTTCTTCCATTTTGGGTCACGGGGGTCACCGGTGTCCATGTCCAGCAATCACTGTGCGAGGGGCGGGGTACACCGCGGACAGGTTTCCAGTCCATCGCAGGGCCACATAGAGCCAAACAAGACTAACAACCATTCACTCTCTCACTCACACCTAGGGACGATTTAGAGTTACCAATCAGCCTAACATGGCATGCACAAAGAGAACATGCAAACTCCACCCAGAAAGGCCCCCAGACCGGGAGTTGAACCGGAGACCTGCTCACTGAGAGGCAGCAGCTCTACCGGTTGAGCCACCGTGCTGCATGTTAAGATTTCTCCCCTGACATTGTTACCAGAAACCCAGCCCAAAGATGATGGAGGATCTGAGTTTTTACATGGATTTGAATCAACTGTCGGCAGAAAAGTGGACAGAAATGCCAATAAATATAAAATACAATCATATTTTGTTTCATTGTGTGGACTAAACCAGAGTCCGTGCAACCTGATTAAATGTTTTACTTCAGCCAATACCACTTTATTCACAAAAATCATTTTTTAATTTATTTTATTTCTAGGCTGATGTGGTCATCCACATTAAAGTGACCTCTATTTGACCTCTATGCAAAATGGGTCGATTGCTCACGGGAAAAAATCAAATCAATAATTAATGGTCAAATCATTATCTGTTTTTTTTTTTGTTGCATAATGTAATACACATTAAAATACATTTATTTTTACAGACACAAAGTCAAGTTAATTTTATTTGTAAAACAGTAAATTTGTTAACTGGGAATTCTTCCATTCTCTGCCTGTGGACATGGGAGCAAATCATGACTGAAACTAGTGTTACACTTTTTAATTTTCATTTATTTTTACAGATTAGTGCAACAATAAATAATCAATCGTTTATGCAGAGATTTGACTAATCACTCACTCAACAGGTTTACATCTTTCTTTCTGTGAAATTTTAAATTGTCTCACTGAAAGCTGCCAGCACAGTAAGTGACGGCCTCAAAGAGCTGGGGCGTTCGACTGCAGAAAATCTCTGGTGAGAATCAGAGTTTTAAAGAAACGAAACAAGGATGAAAGAACGACACGACTCATCCTGATGGTTAAACCAGATCAGCTCTGTCTGAGAAACCCGGCTGGACCCAGACACAAGAATTTATATTTGATATTTTCTTCGGTCCCAGAGGGGGCGGCGGGGGAAAGTTTCTGGTTCACACTGATATTTAGAAGAAAAGATGTATTTATAATTTACTGTGAAAACTTTTTTTTGTAGTTTCTGAGTGATCAGGTTTAAAAACATCCAAAGTGTGATCTGTGTGTGAAGATAGTGCACGTTATAAACTGAGCTCGTGTTGCGTCATCGTTTTCACCCGTTTCGTGTTTGCTCTTCAGCCTGCAGGTCTGCAAACATCGACCTGGTGCTTCTGATCGACGGCTCCAAGAGCGTCCGACCGCACAACTTCGAGCTCGTCAAACAGTTTGTCAACCAGGTGGAGCTTTTTTTTTTTTTACTTTTTATTTTGTGCATCGCAAAATTTAAGAATCAGCAATTTGTAAAATTATTAATTATTTCATACTGATATTTATCTATTTTAATTATTGGGATACTTTTAGTACATTTGTGTGTGTGTCTTTGAGGTACAAAAGTAATTTAAAGATGCTCATTGCAAACTATAAAATCAAACTCAAGGTTTTTCTGCCCTACGTCTGTTTGTGTGTTGACTCCAGCAGCTTTTCATCTGCAGTCAGTACAAACAAAACATTTTATTTGCATATTATTTTCAATCCGAGGATAAATTTGTTCAACTGCATCAAAACTGTTGGTTATCTCCATCCTAACCAGTTCTGTCCAAACTTCTGTACATGCCAAATTAGTCAAAATGAAAATACCCACAGGGCCAAAAAAACAAAAAAAACAAAACAAAAGAATTAAAGCTTAGTATTTGCTTTTTTTAAATAAGCAATATTTTCGTCGAAGGTTAAAACATTTTGGGAATAAAAGGATTTTTAAATCAAAGTTCCAAAAATAAAGTCACTTTATTTATACAGGTAGTCTTATTGAGTCCCAAGAACTCATTTTCAAGAGAGACTTGTATTTTGGAGGAGCAGATGGTGGAGGTTAAGTGCCTTGCTCATGGGCCCAGAGTGGGGCAAATGAGGGTGGAGGCAGGTGTGGGTGTTTCACCTTTTTCCACACACATTTTGATGTCGACAGTTCAGGGAGTTGAACCTGCGACTTTCTGATCACAGGCCCATCTTCTAACCCCTGCACCACCACTCCCTAAATGTATGTGGTAGTGACAAATGTTGAATTTAAAGACGCATTAATCATCAACCTGAGGAGAACCTGAGGATTTTGTTTCTTACTGGATGTTTTTCTTCCTGGTTTACAACAAATAAGTTAACTCTACTGAGCAAATGTGCACGTGTGTCTTGTGTTCAATGGATGAGTTTTCTTCCATCCTGCAGGTGGTTGACTCTCTAGACGTGTCTGCTCACGGCACCAGGGTGGGTCTGGTTCAGTACTCCAGCCGGGTCAGGACAGAGTTCCCACTCAACATGTACCACACGGCTGAGGAGATCAAAGCTGCAGTCATGAAGGTAACGACACGAGGAGACGAGCAAAAAAAAGAACATTTTATCAGTTAGACTTTTACAACACTTTAAGATGAACCATTTGAGCGTTTAGCCTTTAAATCTGAGCACGTTGCATCAATTATTCTTCCCTGGATGCATTTTCTTCTTTGTAGATTGAATACATGGAGAAAGGGACAATGACGGGTCTGGCCCTGAAGCACATGCTGGAGAACAGCTTCTCCCAGGCAGAGGGAGCTCGTCCAGCCAGTCGCAACATCCCCAGAATCGGACTGGTTTTCACAGACGGGCGGTCCCAGGATGACATCAGCGAGTACGCCAAAGAGGCTAAAGAAGCAGGTCAGGCTCAGCGAAGAACCGGAACCATCAGACTGACTGGATTCATCTACTGAACGTGTCTGTGTCTGCAGGAATCACCATGTACGCTGTGGGCGTGGGGAAAGCCGTGGAAGACGAGCTCCGGGAGATTGCTTCTGAACCTGTGGACAAACATTTCTACTACACCACTGACTTCAGCGCCATCAGCACCATTGCCGAGAACCTCAAACTCAACGTCTGCCCAGGTAAAACCCCCGACACTGCAGAGCAGAAGCTCTAAGATCCTCACAAGAAACCAACAGAGGAGGTCAGGGAAGGTCAAAAGTCTTAAAATTTAATTTCTAAACCAACTTAGTCTCGTTATTTTCTTTATTATCGCCTTACTTTACCTTTTAATGACATCCAGTCATGCTTTTGTTCGAGTCTGTGCATGAGTTTGTGTCCGTCTGTTAACAGAAAAATGTCTCGTGAATTGCAGGTTTCAATGAAACGTTCAGACAAATCATCTAGAGTCGATTAACCTTTGGAACCAATCCACAGCTAATCAACCTTACAGCCACAAAAATGGCTCAAACTGACTCAGATCTGTCAATATTTAGCTGTAAAAACGTGGTAGTAGCTGAGAGTCATCCTCAACAAGCCTTCAGAGAGCAAACAGTTCATGCAGCGTTGCATGAGATCATGTAAAACAGCTGCAGCTCGATTCCTTCTCATCACAAGATGATGAAGGTTGGAAACTCAAATAAAACGCTGTGGGGCAATTAAGTTAATTAAGCAATTCCTTCAAGAAATGTTAGGCCTTTAACTTTCCTTCATGTTTTATTTGGTTTACTTTTCACTACCAATTAAAAAAAAAACAGCTCATTCTATTCACTGAAACACTTTGATGAGTTTTAGAAGATACTCAGGTTTTGTTAAAAGTAACAAAAGTCTTTTGTTTGTCCCCAAGTGATGCCAAGAAGTCCTAACAAACCACCTGTGCATGATGCCATCTGAGTGATAACAACAAAAAATAAATATAAATACTATGAGAAGCTATAATAGATTTTTTTTTTTGTTAGATTTCGTTACCATAAAGTAAAAATCAATCAGCAGAGCAGTTGGTGCATGATGACGTCATGACAGTAAACCGTGAAGCTGCTTTGTTCTTTGCCGCCACCTGCTGGCCAACAATCACACTGTAAATCATGCAATAAACTTTTCAAACATCAAAACTACATTTTATATAATATAATATAATAATAGATATGCCATAGATAAGATATAATAATAATAGAATATATAAACAACAACAAGAATGAATATCATGAATAGCAAAAAGAACGTCTCAAACTACACATAAAGAATATAGAAATTGACGGTGGATAAACTGTGTTTTCTCCCAGCAGAGGAAAGTCAGGGGGAGATCGAGGTGAAGGATCCGTGTTCCTGCGAGAACCTGGTGGAGTTCCAGCAAGCCACCATGAACAGCCTGGAGCAGCTCTCACAAAAACATATCCTTTAAGAAAAACTCATCTCTGGCTCACCTTAATGTTGCATTCAGGCACAAAGCTGGGTGTTGCAGCAGTTTTTTTTACTTTGTGTCAGACTTTACCTTATTTTTGTTGTCATTTTTCATCTGAAGCTCCTGAAGGTCTCACGCTGACCAGACGTTCTGATGTTTCCACGTCTCGTTGCAGATCTTTATTTGGATCTCGACAGGTTTTAAATCACTGACCTAAACATCTGCAGCCTGTTTAAAGTGCCTCTCTGAGTTTATTTGTTAAAAAAAAAAAAAAACATTTAAATATTTTTAATTGACGCTTTATGTTCCTTCCACTTCACCATCATGCACTACTTGGTTTTGGCCTATCACATAAAATCCCAGTAAAATACTTTCAAAGTTGAGCCGAGACAAAATGTGGCAACGTTACAAGAGTTCATGAGATATTTCGTGAGGGTGCGGCGCATCAAGATCATCCCATCATCAAACTGGTTTCCATTCTCTTTTTGTACTTTTTAGGTCATTATTACATAAATAGGCTAAAAGAGGCCTAAATGCAACACAACAAAGTTAAGCCAGGTCCTCTGGATGGTTTCATTTTTTGTTGAGACGTTTCATCCTTCATTCAAAGGACTTCATCAGTCCGAGGAGCCACAACAAACCGAGTCCCACAAGCAGCGCACTCAGTGAGCCAACCAGTTTGATGGTGATAAAATGGTTTCTGGGGCCCACCCTCTCCCCCGTCGACTCTTCTGAGGCAGCCATAGCCCAAGCGATTCATTACATCAAAGTTCATCCTTAATAATCCAGGTAAAAATCCAACAATGTTCAGTCAGGTCATCTGGATGGTTTATTTTAATGTTGATATGCTTTTCATCCAAAGGACTTCATCAGTCTGAGGAGCCACAACAAACTGAGTCCCACAAGCAGCACACTCACATAGTGGACCAACCAGTTTGATGGACCTGAATTTACGTTGTTTAAGTTTTTACCTGGATTAGTGAGCATGAACTTTGATGTTTTGAACCACTATATCCATGAGTGGCCTTAATATTCTCAGAGGAGTCGACGGAGGAGAGGGTGGGCCCCAGAAACCATCTTATCACCATCAAACTGGTTGGTCCACTATGAGTGTGCTGCTTGTGGGACTTAGTTTGTTGTGGCTCCTCGGACTGATGATACATTTCAACAACAACAAAAAAAACAAAACCATCCAGATGACCTGACTTAACTTTGTTGGAATTTTTACCTGGATTATTGAGGATGAACTTTGATGACCTAAATGCAACGGATTTTTAAAAATGTGCAGTTACAGTAAAAACTTGTATTTTTTTTGTTGTTCCTTAATCCACCGTCCACTGGCGTCCATGACTGCTCGCATGGAGCAACTGGAGAACCAGCTTCTGTCCAGGAAGTGACATCACAGGGAGAACACTGCGCAGGAGGAAGAGTGAAAGAGACGAGGAGGACTCATCCTGAGCCCATTAACGCTCGCTGTGCACGGGTGTCTCTTCGAGGACAAAGAGGACACTCCTCAGATTAAAACAAAAAGAATGTTTCTTCTAAAACCTTTTGTAGATTTATGAGCTCGTCTGCTCTTCTCCCCTGTAAGAGTCGAAGGTTTGTCCGTTCGCGGAACAGAATGTTTCAGTTTTAGCTCTGAACGATTTTTCAACTCATCGCTGATCGAAGGCGCAGTCACACAACAGAAACCCAGAACACTAAAAGACGTTTCACCTTCCTGACTGTGTATTTACGGAGCATTTGTGTATTACATCATCTGTGTAAAATGAACTTTGACGGTAATTATTACTGTAGATATTAGATGTGAGCAGAGAGTATTACAAACAACAGTCATCGTCACAGTTCATTTACTTCTCTCTGCGCTTATTTCACTTCAGACATATTTAATGATGCATTTATGGCAGAATGTTGTTTTCTAATGAACAGTTGAATAAACAAAAAATCAGATTTGGAGGATTAGGATTAGCAAATTAAGTTTTATTACCACTTGTTTTGTTTTTTTGTTTAGTTTTTTAATAAAGTACTTTTTTTACTCACCTGTAGACTACAGTTTTTAATCACAGGCCTGATGGGCGTTTTTAAAAATAATAATAAAAATAAAGGTTTGCGCTTTACAAAAAGGGAATTGGGCGTTTTATTTCCCATTAAAGCTGTGGTTTGTTTGTAAAACGTGATTTTGTTACAAGTAACAGCGTACAGTATTTTACTGTTAATAATTTCAGCCAGATTACGTGACAGGTATGATCATCCACGTGATGTGAAGTCGACCTTCCAGAACTTCTTGACGACCGATTAATACAAAACTAAACAAAAATAAAATAAAAATGTCTTTAGCTTTAATCTCTTCTGCTTGCGTCAAATATGAATAATTTGCATTTTTATATTTATAAATACCACAATAAATTTATTCTCATTGATATTTTATAACTTGTATGTTTTTTGTATATTTTCTAATAGCTCCATGTTTTGTATGTTTTAATGAATCTTTGTATTTTAATAAAGACGACAATAAAGGAGTGACGTTTTCTCTGTTTATTCAACTGTTGGGTTCTGTTTTAATGGAGAAAATGAAAGAATGAAGCTCCTCCGGCATTTAAAATGTTTGGTGTGGGAAGTTTGTTTTTTGTGTCTGCAACAGAAACTTCCGGATTTCTCTCAGCTGGGAACCTTCTTAACAAAAAACCATTCGACTGTCAGTAAAATATCTGAAGAAAAATACCCTTGCTTTTTTAACCTCATGATTTTAAAAGTCTGAGAAATGATTAAGATTTTTGAACTTTGTTAATGAAATAAACAAGGTTCAGGTACACAAGAATTCATGTGCAGACACAAAATATAAGTTTAACCGAAGCTATAAGACGACTTTAAACTATACATCAACAACAAATTATTACATTTCCCTAAAAGTGCCAAGTGACCAGAGTTTGTTCTCAGAGGAGGAACTGCACTTTAGTTTTGGAGCACAGCTGCAGGCGGTGAAGGAAACCCAAAAGGAGGCAGTTATTCCTTGCGGGCAGTAATTTGCAGCTCTGCAGGGACCGTGCCGTCAGACAACGAGCATCATTACTGACTATGACCTTTAAAACATTTTCTCTGCAGACTGTGATGCAACGCGTGCTTGTTCCAGGAGTTTCTGTCTTTCAAACAAAAACAAACATCTGTCAAACAGCTGTTTGACTTGAAAAAAAACATTGTCAGTGAAGAATGGTGGGTGAATCAGATAAACCAACGTTTTAAATTAAATGCTTGCCTTTCGGTGCATAAAAAAACAAAAAAACACGTCTTTTCTCCCCCATGCCTCAACAGCTCTGTAAGTAAAACAGAATTATATTAGGAAAAAAGTAAATAAAAGTGTTGGATTCGTTTTATAAAGAGGATAGTCAAACACAAACTGTTGAGCAATTTAAATCTTCTGCACAAATAAACAAATTATTGTCGTAACTTCAGCAGTCACCACGACCATTTGAATACAAATACATAAAAAAAAATCACCCTGTGTACCAACAGAAGATGTTCAAACTTGAAACTGACAAAGAAAAATAATGTCAGGCGTGTTTATTTGTTTTTTGTTTAGTTTGTTTTTCATGAGAAATGATAGCTGAAGTAAGTAAAAACAATTGATTTCATACTTGTGTCTGATAATCTATAATGATCAAACTGTGATTTATGCATTAACAAGTACACATGTCTGTATAATTCTTGGTACCTTTTGACTAAGTTAAGAACTTTGATGTTTTTGTTTTGTTTAAAAACTGCAGACCATGACGGACTGCAGTATCTTACTGGTTTGTTACAGGTTTGATTTCTGGTAAATTCACACTCAGTCTTTGGTGCCAGTCAACAAGCGAGAGGCAGAGTAAACGAGGACAGGTCAGCAGTGAGTTACAGGACTAACAGTAAACATACGTGCTACAGTATGTGTTGTCTTCATTGTATGTTTCTATACAATGATGAAATTAGTTCTCTGCATTTAACCCATCACCCGTGAGATACACCCAGGTGGAACAGTGGGCAGCTATGCAAGCACCCGGGGAGCAGTTAGGGGGTTAGGTGTTTTGCTCAAGGACACCACGGAATGTGGGCATGGCGGGGAGTCGAACTGCAACTTTCTGGTCCTAAGTGGGCTGCCCTAACTCGACATCATCTCTGCCCCCAAACAAGCAGCACCATTGAGGCTTGGATCATTGAGGAGAACACCTTCTAGTCAAAGGGTCAGGGTTCAATTCAGAGCTCCTGTAATGTGCCCAACGGTCCTTGGGCAAGACATTGGCCGCTCCCCATTGCATCCAGCACTCTTATTGAGCTGTGTAAACATAAATATATTATAGAAAGCACTAGACCAGCTGTGTGTGTGATGAGAAACAATGTGATGCTCTTTGCAGAACCTGGAAAGGTTAAAGAGTGTTATATAGGGTACTGTGAGTGTGAACCATTTACCATGCCCTTACCCACGGTCAGTGTGGCTCATGAAGAACATGCAACCTCAACACAAAAACCCCAGTTGAGACTCCACCTCTTTTCCAATCAAGGTCTTTTTATTTTCCAATTAACTTTTTGTTTTGTAACACAAACAGAACAGAACAGCTAACATAAAAATGAAACCCTCCCACCCCTTCCCATCCACACTGGATCAGACACACATAAAAGTCTTTATACAGTTATTTACATGTTTTCATCATATGACATAAAAGGTGTCCCAAAATCTTCCTGCAGAAACCTTCAGGGTATATCTGACTTTTTCCAGATGAATATGGCACATGACTTCCCTTATCCAATGTACTGTACTTATGCTGGGGTGTGGGTCCTTCCAATTGCACAAAACGAGTCTTCTGGCCAGAAGAGAGCCAAAAGCAATCACATCCTTCTCGTACTTGCTAAAGGACGTGTCCACAGGGACCACCCCAAACAATGAAATAGTGATGGTGTACAGCTTTTCCACATAGCCTCGAGAAGGTGTCAAAAATAAATTGCCAAAAGGTCCGCAGTTTGGGACAAGTCCAGAATGTGTGAAAGAGTGTAGCTGTAGTTTGTTTACAACGATTACATGCGGGGTTCAGGTCGGCTTTGATCTTGGACAGTTTGTCTTTGGACCAGTGCAGCCGGTGCACCACCTTGAATTGAATTACAGCGTGTCTCAGACAGACTGAGGATGAGTAAATGTTCTTAATGATCTTTATCCAGATTGAGTCTGATATGGATTCCTCCAAGTCTGTTTTCCATTTCAGTTCAAGAGAGTCCAAAGTGGTCTCACGGTATGAACTGAGCAGTGTATAGATCTTGTTGAGGGCCCCCTCGGTATCAGACCTGCATTCCAAAATCTTAACCACAAAATGTTTAGAGGGGTGCAAAGGAAAACAATCAGAGATAGTGCTTCTAACTTTTGACCTTCTTGCTGTGATACTACAGTGCTAACCACCAGTTGCACTGGTTACCTAATTCCATCAGCTAAACAAAGTGAAAACTAAATGAGAAATGAACTTGTTCTCCTGGTGGATTTCTCTAAAGAGAATATTTGTTTTCAGGTGACTGTGTTAATGTCATTAATTTTATTCATGCGTCTTCAAGGAATATGCTGCCACACGTTTTAATTTGAACATCCATTTAAAGAAAGTTCTTGTAAACAGTCAATGTTCTTTGTAATTAACGGTTTTTTTTTTTTTAAGGTACTAATAAAGTCTCAGAAGTTGTCTCTAATTGATCCCTTTGATTCTTGAACGGTGCAATGCACATTGAAGACTTCACAACATCCCACCCCTGTGTGCATGTGACCTTTACTGTTGCCGTCTAAAGAGGATTAATGAGACGGTTGTTTGCTGTTTGTCCTGCAGCAAGGGGTACTTTTAAAATTCACCAAGGATTAATGAAAATGTCAAGATGTCTCCAAAGAATTGCTTCCAGTAAATATACGGCAGCAAGTGGAACAATAACGTTGGGAGGAAGTTGAAAAAGTATAAGTAAAATGGTAAAATATCCTGTCAAACTTTAAACCTTCAGTTTATTTTCTGATGATTATTTTTTTATTGCATACTCACAAACAGAACGGTTGCCACTGAGGAGCTCAGCTGGTGATCAGAGAAGGGACATTTTATACCAACAGTTTAAGAGAAATGACTGGTTTACAGGTCAAGCCAGTACATCATGCAAACATCAGCAAGTTCCATATAAACTCATCTTTGGTGTAGAATACCAAAAGTAACTAACTTTTTATCGCAGTGAGTTAGAGAGATAAACTCAAAATATTAATTACTTATCAAATACACAAAACTGTTTCGTACTGAACATGAGGTTTGTTTGTTTTTTAAAGATAAGTAAAAATCTTAATATGTTTTAGAAAATAATCTTGAAACTAAACTTCTTTCAGTCAAACATTAAACACATTATTTCTGTATATCTTTAAACAGTCTGCTTGTAGGACAGCGTTGTGGTGCTGTGGTTAGAGCTGCTGCCTCACATCTAGAAGGTCCTGGGTTTGTTGCAGTTGGGGCCTTTGTAGATTCTGCATGGTCTCCCTGTGCACGGGTTCTCCAGATGCTCTGGGTCATTCACACAATCTCAAAATATGCCTCATGGGTTCAATAGTGATTTCAGTAGGTGTGGTTGTGCTACTTGGATGGATGGATGGATGGATGGATGGATGGATGGATGGATGGATGGATGGACGGACAGACAGACGGCTAGACGGATGGAGGGACAAATGGCTGGACATAGGAATGGAGGAATGGGCAGCTGGATGTATGGTTGGATGAATTGATTGATGGATAGTTGGATGGATGGATGGATGGATGGATGGATGGATAGCTGGATGGTTGGACATCTGGATGGATGGATGGACATTTGGATGGATGATGGACCGATGGACAGACTGACGGGCAGATGGATGGATGGACAGATGGATGGATGAATGGACAGCTGCATGGATGGGTGGATGAATGAATAGACAGACAATTGGATGGATGGATGGATGGATAGAGTTGGGTGGATGGATGGATGGATGGACAGACTATTGGATGGATGGATGGATGAATGAATGAATGGACAGACTATTGGATGGATGGATAGATGGATGGATGGATGGATGGACAGACAATTGGATGGATGGATGGATGGATAGAGTTGGGTGGATGGATGGATGGATGGATGGACAGACTATTGGATGGATGGATGGATGAATGAATGAATGGACAGACTATTGGATGGATGGATAGATGGATGGATGGATGGATGGATGGATGGATGGATGGATGGATGGATGGATGGATGGACGGACAGACAATTGGATGGATGGATGGATGGATAGAGTTGGGTGGATGGATGGATGGATGGATGGATGGATGGATGGATGAATGGACAGACAATTGGATGTATGGTTGGATGGATGGATGGATGGATGGATGGATGGATGGACTGTTCACTACAACAGGCCTGTGACTGGAACAGTGGCCACATGTGGTTCTTCACATGATGATGTAGAATTGTATGAATTGAGAAATCTGACCAACTCTAAACCAGCAGAAAACATTTTAGAAGAAGCTAAATGTCTGAAATACACAACATCAATAAATACAAAAATCACACATTTAATACGTTGAATACTTTAAGCTAAATGTATATTTTCAAGGACTTAATGAACTTCAATAAATACACCTTGGTCCAGTGGTGCAGCCAGTACTGACTTCCTTCCCTCCATTCTAAAGTTCTCTGCTTCACGACTTTAACTTTGAGTGCTGCAGCTGAAGTCTTAGCACAATGAAACTGGCGTTACACTTTGATTAATAAAACACCAGTGAAACTTAGACACAAAACAATTTGAATATTTATTTTATATCATTTATTTAAATGTTTTTTGGACATCCAGTAGTGGGTTCATATAGTTTAGATATAACAGCAACAAGATGCAAAACAAATGATGAGCATTACAAGGCCCTTTAACTACAGTAAAATATAAAAATGCTGTTGATGTTGGCAGAAGAACAACAAGCAGTGAAATATTTTCAGTATCTCAAACAAGTCAAACCCAAGAACTGTGTTCTGGTCTTGTGTGACCAACTGATCACTCAAAAACTGGATCGTTCTTTCATCATGTTTTTAACACACATTCAGTATCTATGCATTCATCTCTCCACCCACTGTTCCTCAGATCGTTGCCAACCAAATTACATAAAACGTGTAGAGAAACAATGGAGGAGTCTGGTTGTGTGGAGGTAGGTGCTCTGTGCAAACATCTGGTTTTACAATATATGAAATAACAGATTGTTCAACTGGAAAACAATGACCGAATCTTGTTGAATGATATCATACTTATGGGTTTACCGTTTTAAATTAATCTCATTTTTATCATTTCATTCATGATTGAACAGAAGTTGGAGACAGAAGACAAATAGAAGAGTGTCTGAAGAGAAAAGGTAGATTCAAGCTGATGTGGGGATTCTGAGGTCAGTGATTCTTCTCCAGTTATTAAATCCTTACAACAGTAGTAGACTTCAACTTTTTCTGTCTTTTTTAATGTTCATTGATGCTTTGATAATTTTTCTTCAATCTTGTAACTCTTATGATTATTTTTTGCAGTATCTGCACATGTTTGTTTTTCACATATTTGCATTGTTTCAATCATTTTGTTGCTAATTAAAGTGTCTTAAGATGTCATTTCTGATAATACCTGATGAAAAATGTTGGAACGATTAATAACGACTGATATAGAATTAAACACGTCATTCACAACATTTTATTTTGTTGTTGATTTTTGTCAGTATAAGGCCGGCAGTGATGAAGATGACGTGTTACATGCATGGATAATAGACACGAGTTATGTATTTGTTTGTCTTTCATCCCTGACCATATTTGAAAGTTGCACAGGTGAATTAGAATATCTCAACAAAGTTTGCAGTGGTGTGTGAGATGACAAGTACTAAAAGCATTATGGAGACAGCAAAAAGCTCAATGACGTGCATGAAGTAAAGGATTGTGCACTTAATGTGGTACAACCAAAGAGCCACAGCACAAATTGTCCTGAAACCAAGTCCTAAAGAGTTGCACCTTATTAAGTCAACATCCAAATGCACCAATAACGGGCTTGTGAATATCAAGAGCTTTTATTTTTATTAATTTAAACACCATGGCACCTTCGAAAGTTTTGATCCGAGCTCAACCGATCACGGCTGTATCACCTTTGCTTCTGTGACCTTTACAGAATTCAAGAAATGAACGTGTCATCTGCCAATGTGACCGTGGTCGTAGAGTATCGGGATTCCTTCGCCAAAGCCGTCATCAAGAATGTCATCGTCGTGCTTCTCAGCCTGCTCATCAATTACATCAACGCAGGACTCATTTATACCTTCTATGAACACCAGGTCGGTCCCGCCTTTGACGACGTCCTAAAATGCATTAATTTAGGAAATAAAATAAAAATCGTAGCTTAGCAGTTAACATTTATGGCAGCACTCCTCTTTTAAATGGTTTAATAATTGCTTGAAAATAAATTGAACTCCCACACATCCATTAAAATGTACTCATAACATTTTTCAGTCCACATACACTGATCAGGTAAAATAAAAGTGACTGGATGTTTGATTTTCACTTTTGTGTACTTCTTCCTGTAGGCACCTACACAATTTGAACATATTTAAGATGTAATGTTTTTCTGTATCTTTTATTTAATGTTTATTACAGTAAGAAGGTGTAAGTACAGGGCGCTTACCATACCAGGTAGCACAAGTACCTGGTACCAGTTCTAGTACATACTGTACTTACCTGGGATGTACCGTTACCATTACGTCTACTGATATTTTTAACAAGTCAGTGTATTTTGATCCAAGATATACAGATTAAAGATGTTTTCCAACTTCAGTGTAACAGTGACTGCTAAATGCACCTCACTTTATATAAAGTATTTGGGCAGAAATCTTCCAGACAGGAGGTTTTTGATTTGCTACTCTAACTTCCTGGTTCTCTTCCCCGTTTCCAGATCTTCAACTCAAACCCTCGATACATCTTGTTTTGCCACTTGGTGATCAACGATATGATCCAAGTGTCAATGTCTGTCACACTTTTCGTCACCAGCTACATCCTCTACAAGATACCTGTTGTTACCTGTTGCATCTTAATATTGTTTGGCATCATCACCACTGAAAACAGCCCCCTGAACCTGGCCTGCATGGCTATAGAGTGCTACATCGCCATCTGCCTCCCTCTTCGCCATGCTCAGATCTGCACCATCAAGAGGACAGTGAAAGTGATTGGTTTGATCTGGGTGACTACCATTTTGTTTGCACTTCCTGATCTCTTCCAGACCTTGGCCATTGAGCCTTTGGACTTCTTTAAATCCAACATATTTTGTCTCAGAGAAACAGCTTTTCGAAATCCCAGCATCATTGAAAGGAGGAATATTACCTACATTACGTATCTGGGTCTAGTATGGTGTGTTCTCTTCTACACTTATTTCAGGATCTTGTTTACAGCAAAAACAGCAAGTAAAGATGCTAAAAAGGCAAGAAACACAATCTTTCTCCATGCATTTCAGCTTTTGTTATGCATGGTAACGTATGTAGAGCACCTGCTGAAGCAGGCTCTACAGCAGTGGTTCCCTGAGCATTATTCAGATTCTCTGTTTGCTTGTTATATAGTTTTCCAAATCCTGCCGAGATCCATTAGTCCAATCCTCTATGGCATGAGAGATACAACTTTTAGGAAGTACTTGAAAAAATATTTATTATGTAAAATAAGGATAAAGTCGTGAAAAGCTTTTGAATCCTAAAACCCTCAAATGTATTACATGTCAGGTCCTGAATAAAACTCAAACTCCCAGAATGTCCCGTCTCACCTGCTGAAGCCTGGAGCTCCTTCAAGGTTTCTTGGTAGTCTCTCTCACTATTCTTTCTTGCACAATAACCCAGTTTGAGAATGACGACCTGCTCTTGGTAGATTTACACATGTCCCATATTCCTTCCATTTCTTGATGATAGATTTAACAAAACTTTTGGCCTTGAAATTATTTTTGTATTCATCCCCTGAGACTTATTTTTCAGAAATATTTTCTCTGAGTTGAATTATGACACAGTCACTTTAACAGGTTAGAGAATATTTACGCCATTACTTACTTTACTTGATATAAATATATTTAGCAGGTATTACAGTGTAGAAGTTTGAGTTCACTTTGACAATTAGGAGGGTTTACTTAATTTTATAAACTTTTTGTAAAAAAAAGTGGCACGGTGGCTCAGTCTGTTCAGACCCTGGCCTGAGACCTTTCTGGGTGGAGTTTGCATGTTAAATGGACTGTACTTATATAGCGCTCGGCTATCTAGTCATGATACTCAAAGTGCTTTACACTACAATCTGTGTCCTCATTTACCCATTCATACAGCACTCTACTAGATCTGTACAAAAATAAGGAGAGAGTGAGAGAGTGAATGGTTGTTTGTCTTGTTTGTCTCTATGTGTCTCTGCAATGGACTGGAGACCTGTCCAGGGTGTCCCCCGCATCTTGCACAGTGATAGATGGACATGGGCACCAGTGACCCTCATGACCCGAAATGGAAGAAGCGGGTGAAGATGGATGACTTATCGTTTACTGCTATTCTGAAAGTATCTAAAAATGACCAACGCTGATCTTAGCACGTATATCTCTGATGCATTAATATTTTCCTAAACTATTTTGAGTTTTGATCACCTGTTACAGATGTGATGATTGCCACGATTCCTGTAACCGCTCCAAATATTTGTATCGAGCATTCACAGTACAAATGTACATACTGCTACACCCCCATAGGTAGTAAATCATAAATACTAAAAATTATACATCATTGTGTACAATATCTGAAATTGTGGACAGTAGAATAAAAATATTTATGAGAAAGTTTCCTATTTATGTAACAATCTGGTGGTGGTTGAACCCAAAATGCAGGGAAAACTCGGAGGACTCAGGTTTTAAAGGAAAAGTTATTTAATAAAAACCATGAGAGCTAAGGGAGACAAAACCTGGACGTAGTGCAGAACAGGTAACAGGGACATGGAGCCTTCATGAGACAATGCCCAAATAACAAGGTACATGAGACACACACACACACACACACAAATGACAGACAAATGACAAACAGCTGGAACAGACAACAGGTGGTGGCAGAAGCTAATTACATGAGGGAGCAATAGCTGTGACAGACCAGAATTTTGTTCTCTAAGTTGACAGTCACTTTAAAGAGGAGTGAATATTCATATGATGCATTTTACATGACATGTTTGTATTTAATTGTTACTGGTATTGTGTCTGTGACTTTCTTTACCTCCACTGACCACGGTGATATTATTTACATGAACACTCCTACAAGAACCCTGCAGATGTTGGATGCTGTCTATCATGGTGCGCTAAGATTCATAACTGGCTGTGATTATCGTACCCACCAGTGCACCCAGTATTCACTGGTTAACTGGACATCGTTAACTTCCCACAGACTCTTTCACTGTTACATTTTCATCTTTAAATCACTTCTTGGTCTGCTGCCTTCATACATCTCCTCCTACATGTCTGTGCGTGAGTGCAGCTACAGCGTGCGCTCTCAGGACATCATTACCTGCAGTGTTCCCTCAGTGAGGACTGAACTAGGTAAAAAGTGTCTTCTCCTACTCCGCTCCTGTTTCCTGGAATATCTTACAAAATGATCTGAAGCTCTCGACCTTGACCTCTCTAAGAGATTTTAAACATCTGTTAAGTTCCTGGGATAAACCAACGCAGATATGTTCCTGTTTTGAGTTTTCTACACCGCCCTACAACCTAGTTGTTTTTTTTGTTATTTTTCCTTTTAAATACCCTTTTATTTTCACTTGTAAAAAAAAAAAAAATAATAATCTCAATTTGTATGCATCCTTTATGATTGTCTATTGTTGTCTTTGTTAAAATCAGGTCTCTCTTGTAAATGAGTCCCCGAGGCTCAATGGGATTAACCTGTAGAAATAAAGGTTGAATGAATCTCTTTGCAGAAATTGAATTTTCACTTGACATTTAAGAGGGTTTCTTTCTTTCTGTCTTTATTTTTTTCAAGACGTTCAATTACTATTGACCTTCTTTAATTTACAACAATAAAATCATAAAAAATGCAAAAGGGGTGAATAATTTGACGTAGGCAGTATCTAAATATGTTCATGTAAAACCTTCCGTGTGTCTGTTGCATTAATAATTGGCCACTTTGAGCGATGTTCATTAGTAACTGATGTATTTATCATCTAGATTCCCGTACCTGTTGCAAAAGTTTGTGCTGAATATTAATAGTACAAATAAATATAATGTTACACCCCTATCAGTGGTAAATTATAAATAATAAAAATCTTATATTATCATGTGCAATATGTCAAAACTTGGACAGTAAAATAAAAATATTCATGTCATTGTGTTTTAATATTGTGAAGTTTATTTTGACAGCAGCGCAGTGCTTTTGTAGTTTATCAGATCATTGTGAGTTTAATGAAAAGGTAACATTCGGACGTTTGCTCATCGTGTGAGGGTGTGTTTAAAATATAAAGCATAAATACGAATACAGGCAGCCTTCCTCCTACATACAGTCCCAACAGAGCAGATCTCATCCTGTTTCCTAAGGTCAGTATTTTACTGCTTTAAACACAAACTGAAAACAAATTAATATCTGTAACATGATGAATGTCAGAACAATTGTTTTCTAAATGTGCTGCTGTGGATTTTGTTTTGTGCCGTTTGTCGTTCGTCAGCAACCAAAATGAACGTCACACCGGTGCAAGGCAACCTGACAGGACTGACCTCTTCACCGTTTATACCAAGACTCATGACAAATTTGGTCGTGCTGCTGGTCGGTGTCACCGTCTGCTTTGTGAATGCTTCAATGGTCCACACTTTCAATAAGCATCAAGTGTGTTTTATTCTATTTTAATGTGCAAAATCTGCAATTATTGCATTATTCTTAATGTATTTCTTTTTTTTTTTGCAAATAATAGCCAAGATCATTACAATTGATTGTTTATATGTAAAGCTTTTCAGCTCTTATACTATACAAGTTATCTTTTCAAAGTGCTCAGATTTATTTAAAGTACTGATCTGCTGGCGTTCATTTGATTGCAGTCTAACTCTGTTTGTGCAATCCAGATTCTTGGACAGAACCCGCGCTACATCCTGTTCATCCACTTGGTGGTGAATGAAATGATCCAGCTGATATCCAGCATTTTGCTCTACATCGTTGCCTTTGTTTTTAGCACCGTCTTGGTCTCGCTCTGTGCATTCCTCCTCCTGCCTGCCATTCTCGCCACCAGGAACACGCCTCTGAATTTAGCCTGCATGGCCATTGACTGTTACGTCTCCGTCTCCTTCCCCCTCCGCTACAACACCATGTGCACTGTCAAAAGGACAAAAATAGTCATTTGTGTCATCTGGGCAACGAGTGTGCTTTCTGCCCTGCCTGATGTCCTCGTCCTTTTTATCAAAGAAGACCTGAAGTTCTTGACTTCACAGGCTTTATGTGACAGGGACACTGTATATAGGAGCAGCTTCAGTTTAAACAAGAGTGATGCAGTTTACATTTTGTTTCTGGTGGTGGTTTGTCTAACACTGTTCTACACCTATTTTAGAATTTTGTTTGTGGCCCAAAGTGCAAAAGCTGACGTGTCCAAAGCCAGAAGGACCATCCTGCTTCATGGTTTCCAGGTGCTGCTGTGTGCGATGGTGTACGTGCAGCCTTTGTTAACTAAATCACTCTTAAACAGTTTCCCTCAAGGCCTAGTACCCATAAGGTTGACAATTTTTGTCGTAATTCAGATCCTTCCTCGTTTTTTAAGTCCTGTCGTTTATGGGTTACGGGACAAAACTTTCAGGAAGTACTTGAAAAAGTATTGGATTTGCTTACAAACAGCAGCTGTCCACAGATGACACTTGAAATGACATCGTATTATCGCGCTATAATAATGTTTTCAAACTCGTAATCTTACGGGGTCAGCATAAACTCCAAGTCCAAATTGAAGAAAATACTTTGGATAGCAGTATTTCTGTACAATGTTAAGCTTTCGTGTCAAATTTAAATAATTTTGTTGATATCAGTTTTTTTTGTATACGTTTGTGGGATTTTATTACCTGTATGTTTTAAAAGGTGGACATGATAAAAGAAAACTTGTGGAAAAAAACACTTTTTTTTCTTGTTTTTCTTATATTAGAATACCAGAGTTTAAAAAAATAGGTATTTAAAAGATTTTTATTTAATAAATCCCTGTGCATTTTTTATGAAAGTGTATGCTTTAAGGCTGGACTGTCACTATGATAAAATGTTGCAAACTAATTGTTACGCTGCAGACGTAAAGTGTGAAACACGCTACTACAGGGAACAACTGTCCAGTGGCTCGTGGGTTGTTTTGTTAACACAACATGCAAACAAACAAACAAACAAACACAAATACACTCAAAAGTAAATATATTACCTCCTGCTTTTGGGCTGGTGGGGGTTAGTTAGTGGGATCTTGTTCTAATATTTCATAATTACACTCTGAAAGTTAACTCGTAAATGTATTTACATATTGGACATTTTTCCTTTCAAATTTTACTGAGCAGAAAGACAACTTTGGTCGGAAATGTAGTAAAAACTCCACAAAAGTGACAATCTGTATATTTTTTATATGATGTTCTGTCAGATAGTTATCAAAAGTACCTTAGTAGTTGAGACATCAGTCAAAGGGTAAATACTTTGGAGAAAATACAGCCCTTGTAGCCAACACAAGGTCCTATTGTTTGTTTTCAGATTTATGAAAAAGATTTTCTTAAAACTACATCATGATGTGAAAGAACATTACATTAGCGAATATCAAACCTAAACATTTAGCATAAAACTGTTCAGTTTGTTACAACCAACACGATACAATTTAAATGCATGTGTGCACTAAACATGGTCATCGTTTGGCTCGCTATTAGCCATGTCTGGATAAAAACCTAATCCCCTTTTCTCCATACTCTGTCACAGCTGATAAGGTAATACTGTATATTGATACCAGAACATCACTTCAGAATTAACCAGACTATCCCTTTAAGATTTATAATAAAAATTTAAAATAAAAACACAAGTCCAAGTCCTGCAAACAGTAGTTTGTCCTCGTGCTCAGTAGAAGTTATTTAAAGCGGATGATTTTCTAAATTCTCTGTTGCAGTTATTCAAGTTGTTCGGAAATAAAATTATTTTTCCATCCTAAAGACACGTCTGTGTTTCAGTTTACTTATTTTTTTTTACTGAACTTAAATACCAAGAGTTACGATTCAGGTCCTTTTTGTGGTTTTTTCTCTTTAGGAGCTGCCTTGAGAAGAAACGGAGAACATGAGAATGAAACCGCACCTGAATCAAGTTGTGCCGACGGTGCACTGAGCTCCCTCATCGCTGAGGGATGTGAGCACTGAATGGTTGTAGTTTAAGATTAGTGGTTTTATAAACTGGATTTGAACAGGGAATCCAAGTAAACCTTAATGTTTTTTTTTTTTTTTGTAAGCTATTGAAGATGGTAGGAGTTATAAAGTATAGAACAGATATTTTATTTTTTGCATGTCCAAGGCAGCGTAGAGTGACGGATCCTGGTGAGCAGAAGAAGCTATTTTATTTACCACCAGGTGAAATGACGGAGCCAGGGGGTAGCCAATGGTGGCCTTGGCCACCTTAGATTAATCTTGGGCCACCCCAATCATTTAAGGAAACTATAGGAGATATAAAACTAGAAAGCATATTCTTGGATCTTGTTTTTTGCCGTGGCAGCCCAGTTTTCAATTGTGACCTTTCTTACACCTTGATGCAGCAGCAATCCAAAATAGATGTTGGAAAATGGCTTTTTTCCAAGATATCCAGCTCACAAGATGAACGGACCAACACATGGATAAATGGAGGGATCTTTTCAATTCCTCTCATCACTCCAGAACAGGAGCAAAAGAAGCATCTGTTGGTAGAAATGGACACCAAAACATTTAGTTCTAGAAAACATTTTTTTTTTTTTTTTTTTTTTAAGTACTTTTGTATTTCTTGTTTTCTGCTCTAGAAATTCTGAACCTTGTGTTCCATCCATCCATCCTTTATACCAACTTCCTTTTCGGGTCACTGGTGCCCAAACCCAGCAGTCATTGTGTAAGAGGTGAGGGACACCCTGGACAGGTCCTCAGTCCATTACAGGGACACTGTTTCAACCCTTGGACTGAGTCTAGGAAGCACAGGATGTAACAAAATGTAAACTCAACATAAAGCTAATAATTCAAAAACAGCCCAATTTGGCATTACAATCATTTATTCTTCTAATCGGGCGTTGCAGACAGATGGGAAGCCATGAACTTCAGGGTCTGCAAGGCCAAAACAACAAACAAAAGAACGCCCCATCTGGCTGGAAAACAAATTCACCTCTTAACAATAAAACTACAACTCCTCAGCTCCCGGGCCACAAAACAAGAAAAATTTTTGTCAAAATAAAATGACAGAGAACCTCTACCAAACTTCCCAACTAAACAAAAGTCCTTAAATATTAAATTTCACAAAGATCAACTCAGATTTGCTAAAACATTTGGTAGAGTTAAATTCAGAGTCAACCACACAACAGTGCTCAGGAGGAAGAGGAAATGCCCAAGCTAAAAGGGGCGTGGCTAAATCACTGAAGCTTTTATGCAGTCTACTGATGAGGAGGAAGTGATTCCAGGTGTGCAGCATGGAGTGACAGCAGGCCTGCAACAAGCACAGGAGGAGAAAGGATGTCCTCTAGTAAAAAAAAAACTAAAAGTCAGTGGACGTAACAGACACAGAGACAAACGAGACAAACAACCATTAAATCTCTCACCTAGGGACAATTTAGAGTTACCAATCAGCCTAACATACATGTTTTTGTTGCGTGGGAGGAAATTGGAGTACCCGGAGAAAACCCACACATGCACGGAGAGAACATGCAAACTCCACCCAAAAAGGTCCCACATCCGGGATTTGATCCAGCGACCTTCTCGCTGAGAGGCTGCAGCTCTACCAGCTGAACCAAACGTTTGATTGTTCTTTATTTTTCAGGAACCATGGAGTTGGACATTGCAGACATACGGTCTGTTCTGCACAATATCAGTCTCTGGCTTTTTAAAGAAAAAACGAATAAAAGTTATACAACATGGCAAATTGAGCATTGTGAACTTTTGATATAATCATTATTCTAAAAGTCTTTAAAAAAGAATATAAAAAATAAAAATTCACACCTAAAACATTCACACAATCAACAACTACTGTATTCTGTACTACTATCTTATAATAGATAAAATGTTAAAAATGGGTGCAAACATATTTTTACCTTCAGTCAGTTCTCAACTTTAAACATAATTTATTTTTAAATGATTATCATTGGAGACTGCCTAGTATGGCAGCCACCTATTATTATTATCCACCTGACAAAGGTTTCTTAACTTTATATCTTACTCTTCCGTCAACTTGAATGCGGACCAAACTGCAACGTGTACCCCCACAAACCTTATGTCAAAACGACCGGCTCGGCACCGTGATGTGTGCTGTTACTTATATTGGCGTTTCGAGTTAACATGGCGACGTAACTCACAAACAAAGACGACATTTTTCTCATTCAAAACGCCTGACAGAACTCTTTAATGGCCACCACGCAGCAGTTCCCATCAAAGTTTCTCCAGGAACTATCTAGTTTTATTTGCTATCGGGCAAATGATTCCAGATAAGGCCTCCTTTGACAGTTCATGCTGACTGAGCTGATGTGGTTTTGCAGTTTCCTGATGTTACAGACAGCTGCTGCTTACTCTGCTAACATCTGTCCTCGAATGAAACCACAGAGTGGCACAGGGGCTGATTTATGGAAACATGAAGAATAATTTTATCAAGCAAAGCTCAATGACACTTTCCAAACTTAGTTGGACATTTTTGCAGAACCTGACAATGACATTCTTCATCTTTCCAGATAAAAAACACCAAATTGAACAAACTGCTTGTTTAAAAACTATCAGGTTATTAAAAAAATATCCTTAAAAGTACACATATATATTTATTAATAACTGAAACCACTTTATAGTTTCTTTAAATAGTTTTTCCTTCAAATATCTTAGAAAAAAATGTTTATGTGGGTGTAAATGCAACTTGATCCATAACTACAAACAACAAAAAGTATGCAGGATCAGTTGCGTCATTCTGGTCAAGACTGGTGCAAAACGATGCTCGATAAAAACACGCCGCTGAGATTTCACTTCATTTCCTGCTCAGAGGAGTCCGAATGGATCTGCAAAGATTCTGAACCTTTCCGTCCTCAGTGCCTTCATATTGCAGACATCACTGTGTAAGTGCAATATTTTACAGTATTTGTATATGAATATTAAAACTTTTTGGAGTTTTCTGTATTTTTAAACCTGATTTAAACATGTTGTAAAAATGCACAGATTTGGGGACTTAATTTAGTTTCTGAAAAGATGTGAACTTGCATAGAAAAAGAAAACACGTTGCATGGAATAGAGTATCTCTTTTTATTGTCACCCAATTTTATTTATCTTTCCTTTTGCAAACATTCACCGTCATGGGATTGATCACTTTTAGAACAGGTGTGATGTTAATAAAACATTGTTTAAAATAAAAAAATAAACTAAAAAAATGGTCAGTGTGTAAAATATTGATAAAAAAGATGCACATACAACAATGTTGCTGTTTTAACCCAATTTTTAAATAAGTTGCATTTATTTAGTTATGTTTGTAGAAGAAAAAAAAACTATTTTATTAAAACTGAAACTATTTTAATGTTCAATGTTTAGAGTTGTGGTGAAAATAACAGTAAAATTATATATTTATGATTTTATTCTCTTTTCTTTAAAAATAAAAAAAACAATAGATACTAAAAACAGCGCTATGAATTCATCTTATATCTCTAATGTGTCGAGCGTTCTGAGTAACCGCGACTCCCCGAGCACAGCTATGGCCAAAAACATCATCATCCTCACTCTGGGTCTCACCATCAACTACATCAACTGTGCACTGATTCACACCTTCAGGAAACACCAGGTCAGTCAGCGCGGTCGTTCTGAATCTGGTTAATGAAAATCCCTTTTGTCATGATCTCTTCTAGACGTTTTTATGGCCCGAGATATTTTTGGTTTGAAAAATGTCTTCACACTTTCTGTTGTGTGATTTGTCCTTTTAATCTTGGCAGATTGGGATTTTTGTGTAATTTTACACATTGAAAACAATTTGTCCTAAAGGTGCTGCTCTACATTTTGTTTATTTTTGAGCATTAATATTCACATCACTTGTGTGTAATTACGAAATGGTGACCTTCATTTTTGACTGACAGTTGCTTGAGTAAACATTTTTCTCTTTTGTTCAGATCACGTGGGAACAGTTTGCCCGTTGAAAATACACATTTCCACCATTTTAGGATAAAAAACAGCTTCTGACAAAATATGTTTTTGCTGTTGTCTATAACAAAATTATGTATTTTTATTATGGCTGCCCAAAAACAAAAATATTGCATCGTGCAACAATATTGTTTAACGTGATCTTTGAGCATGCATCAGGAAATGTTTAGCATTGCGATGACAATATCAAATTGACCCATGATGTTTGATTTATTGTGCAACCTTACATTTTTCTGTTATTTTTAAAGACTATGTGTTATCTAAAGGATGGACGACAACAACTGTTGTGTTTAGATTTTTTTACTTCAAGCATTACAAACTGTAAAAAGCAATAAATCAGTCATTTATATAAGTTCCCTTTAAATAACATTGTCAAAGCAATTTATTCACAAGCCAGCAATCTCTATTTTTATATGAGGCGTTATTCTCCTGGTTGTTCCTCCTCTCGGTTGCTTTTTGTCTTGATGTTGTCTGATGTTCACTCACTGTAGCACTTTCAGATCCATTGTGAATGTAAAGTGCGTTATAAATAAAAGTTATTATTATTATTTCTATAACTCAAAAGCGAATGACATTAACCTTGATAGAGAATAACAAATCATCTTCTAAAAGTGAGTTAAAATGTAATCTCTGCATTTTCTACTTTCTGATCTTTGGTTGTGATTAGAACAAAATGTCTGAAGAAAAACAATAAGGCCGACTAAAATGTAAAAACTTCTTTTCTTCTGCTCTCTTGCAGGTGTTTTACACGAATCCTCGTTACATCCTGTTCATCCATCTGGTGGTGAACGATATGATCCAGCTTACAACCTCAGTCAGCCTCTTTCTCATCAGTTACATCTTCTACAAAATCAACGTTTCTGTTTGTTGCCTCATTGTTACCTTTGTTGTTTTCACCACTCTGAACACCCCGATAAATTTAGCTGTGATGGCTGTGGAGTGCTACATCGCTGTGTGCTTCCCTCTGAGACACGCTGAGCTCTGCACCGTCAAACGAACTTATATTCTGATTGTCTGTATTTGGGTTTTGAGTGCAACATCTGTAATGCCTGATATCTTTCTCATTCTGGCCACGGAGCCTGCATGGTTATTTACTTCTAAAATATATTGTGACAGCTATATCCTGTTTAGATATCCAGTAAGTATACAAAAGAGGGATGTTTCTTATATAATTTATTTAACTTTAGTTTGGCTCACTCTCTTCTTTGCCTACTTCAGGATCATTTTTGCTGCTCATGCAGCTAATTCAGCCGACAGAAATGCAAAAAAGGCCAGGAATACCATCCTGCTTCATGGCTTTCAGCTCCTCTTGTGTATGCTGACGTACGTATTTCCCATGATCAAAAACTCAATAGTATTTTTGTTCCCTAAATATTACGTACACGTCCTCTTTGTTTGTTACATCATGATCCACATTTTGCCCAGGTTTGTCAGTCCCATTGTGTATGGGCTAAGAGATAAGATGTTTAAACAGCATTTAAGAAAACATTTGCTCTGTGGCATGAGAGCAGGCAGTAAACCACTGCCCTCAGTGAAACTCATAATGCTTTCCAGATTTCAAATTACATTAATAAGATTTGGGAGTAAATAGTCCAATATTTTGTTTGATATTAAATTGGTGCTTGAATCTTACTACAGAACTAGGAGCAGAATTTTTGTTTATGTCATTTGAGTTTAATAAGCTACTCAGTGTACCAGATGCAAACATGACTCCTTGAGCTGGGCCTTCAGCTTTAATAAAATGTGCAGTCATGCAATATGTGCTTTTGATTACTTAAAAAATGTTGCTCTAATACACGCCTTATCGAAGCACTCTGATAGATGGTGAATTGTCTTCCTGGTGCATTCATGTGCAACATGAATATTCCATAACCCACAAAAAAATGTTCAGAGTAATCTACAGAATTTACTGTTTCCACTTAATTTTTAACATGTAATGAATCAAACATACATGTATTTAAAAACAAGTATCATTGTAAACCTAAATTAAATCAGTGTGGATTTTTGAATTTACAGATTTTAATTGAATGCGCCACAAATCTTTATGTGATGCCAAAATAAACAGAAGTGCAACATTTACTTTGCCTCATTATGCCATGATGCTTTCCCATAAACACACCACGAACAAGACATTCAATATCTGTTCTCTTGACCTTGTATGAGACAAAACCTGGTTGTGGTGCCACTCATATTGTTGATTGTCCACTCCAATGTCCCAAAGCTTCATAACTTCCCCGTAGCTCGCAGAGATATGCTGCTGAGCGGACTTCATTAAATCAACAAATCCAACAATAACTTAGGTGATGATTTGTACCATACGATTCCATACCATTTTATTTATAGAGCACTTAAAACAGCAACAAGGCAAAACTGTTCAGCGATTTGTAGACATAAAGGAGTATTTTGAACTGGATTTGAAGGTGAACTGGTAGCCAGTGCAGGGAGACCAAGACTGGTGTAATGTGCTCTCTTTGGCCTGTACTGGTTATAAATCGGGCTGCTGCATTCCGGACTAGTTGTAGTCGTGCAATGGAGGTCTGACTGATACCAAACTGGAGCAAATTGCAGTAATCAAGCCTAGATGTAATGAATGCATGTATTACTGTCTCCAGGTTTTTAGTTTTTTTTAAACAAAATGGGCTTCAGTTTAGACAGTTGCCTCAGTTGGAAAAAACATGATTTAACAATCATGTTTACCTGACTGTTGAGTTTCATGGAAGGGTCCATTATCACTCCCAGATTTGTGGCTCTTTGTTTTGCTGACAGGGCTAGAGCGGAGAGGTCGATGCAGTGGTTCGTGATCGTGTCGCTGGGAGGGAACAACGTGACTTCAGACTTCTTTTCATTGAAACTTAAGAAATTTAAAGCCATCCAGTCCCTGATGTCAGAGAGGCAATCGAGCAGAGGATGAATAGAACATGTGCCATTGTGTCATGGGGGAAGTAAATTTGACAGTCATCGGTGTAGAAGTGAAAAGTTATGTTGTGTTTCTGGAAAATAGCACCAAGTGGCAGCAGGTATAAAGAGAATAGGAGAGGACCCAGGATGGACCCCTGCGGAACCCCCCATTTAAGGTATGCCGCTGCAGAAATAAAATCTTTGATGGAAACACAAAAGGATCTGTCAACGAGGTAGGATCTGAACCAATTGAGGGCTGACCCTGTGATGCCCACCCAGTGCTCTAACCTAGATATGAGGATCTCATGGTCGATAGTGTCAAAAGCAGATGTGAGGTCCAATAGGGCAAGCAGCACAGAATCACCAGTATTTGTGGATAAAAAGATGTCATTAAAAACTTTCAGTAGGGCCGTTTCTGTGCTATGAAGAGGTTTAAAGCCAGATTGGAATAGCTCTAGGATAGCGTGATCCTCCAGGAGGGACTTCAACTGGGACTCAACTATTTTTTCCAGTAGATTAGAAACAAATGGTAGTTTGGAGACAGGCCGGAAGTTGGATACGACTGAGGGGTCAAGGTTTGTTTATTTCAGGAGAGGTTGAGCAGCAGCATGTTTAAAGGTTTTTGGCCAGTGGATAAACTTCTATTCACAATAGCAAGAATGGACGGACCTAGAGTAGCAAAAACCTCCTATAGTAGTCGAGGTAGTGTATTGTCCGCAATTAAATAAAACGCTCAGCTCCAACAACTGAATTTATGCATTTTCAGATTAACAGATGAAAATGGATTAAAAAAGACTATTAGAATAATAAATCATTCACAAGTGGTGTTGAAAAAGGTCCAATAAGATGAGGCTGCAGAACACCACCTCGGACAGCATAATGAGCAGCACAGGGGCTCTTCAGGGGACAGTCCTCTCGCCGTTTCTGTTCACACTCTACACCTCAGACTTCAGGTACAACTCACAATCCTGCCATCTACAAGAGTTCTCGGATGACTCTGCCATTGTGGGCTGCATCACTGGTGACCAGGAAGCAGAATACAGAGGTGTGGTGGACAGCTTTGTGGAGTGGTGTGGAAAGAGCCACCTGCAACTCAACACTGGAAAAACTAAAGATCTTCAGGTGGACTACAGGAAGAAGATCACCCCACCCCCCAACCCTATCATCATCAAGGTTGCTAAGATTGACATTGTGGACTGCTAGAATTACCTGGGGTTTCCACTTAGACAATAAACTGGACTAGACAGCTATCACCAATGCCCTCTACAAGAAAGGACAGTCGCCTTTGTCTTCGGAGGAGACTCAGGTCTTTTAACGTCTGCAGTAGAGCTGTCATTTCTAACTCGAGCGCTATGCCTGGCCCGACCCGACCCGAATTTGGGATGGGCCGGGCCATGATAATGTCCTAGCTGGGCGGGCCAGGTCGGTGTTGGGCTTTTAATTGGGTCAGGATCAGATGTGATCCAATTATATGATAACGTGGCCTGCCAAACTTCATCAGGCGAACTTGGCCTTTTCACCGTGAGCTTACCGGCCTTGAACGAGGAAAAAAGTTCAGTTAAGCTTCAGATGGAACTATACTGCCAGGAAGAGACCCATCGCCCAAATGGACCTTCGTACAGCCGCTGCACTCAGCGGACGCTCATGGCCGATGACTCAAACATGTGAGATCCCAAAGCAGATGTGTCAGAGCAGGGTCCATGAAAACATCAAGATGCAGGCAAAAACAGGGTTTAAATACTCTTTTACGGTCATGAAAGTACAAACACCTTTCTTCTGCCCCTTAATTCAGCCGTGCGTCCCCAACCGTTAATGACTAAATAAAAATGTCGGGGTTTTCCGGGTTCGGACGTGTAATTACTCTTAATTCGTCGGGTGGGGTTCGGAAATGATGACTGCGGGTTGGGGCTGGGTTGGATTGGATTTTTTGGGCCCAAATACAACTCTAGTCTGCAGGACCATGCTGCAGGTGTTTTACCACTTGGTGGTCTGTCCAGGACCATGCTGCAGATGTTTTACCACTTGGTGGTCTGTCCAGGACCATGCTACAGATGTTTTACCACTTGGTGATCTGTCCAGGACCATGCTACAGATGTTTTACCACTCTGTGGTCTCTCCAGGACCATGCTGCAGGTGTTTTGCCACTCGGTGATCTCTCCAGGGCCCTGCTGCAGATGTTTTACCACTCAGTGGTCTCCTGTGCCTTCTTTTACACTGTGGTATACTCGGGCAGCAGGGTGAAGAAAGCTGATGTCAACAGACTCAACAAACTCTTCAAGAGGCTCTGTTCTGAGAGTGGAAATGCAGTCTTGCTCATGCCTTGCACCGGTTCTCTGCTGTAATTAAGAGCTCTTGCCACCCATGGTCCCTGCCAGATTGAACCCTTTGAGGAAGTAGATGTCCAGCGTTCTTGTTACAGTTCTATCTGATTATCTTGTCTCGACCTCACACCTGCTTTTTAGAAACCAGACCTGTCTGCTCCTTGTCATTTACTATATCACCCTTCTGATCATGGTATCAACCTCCTCTTCTGACTCAATGACTAGGCCTCATGGATCACCCTCTTGGATGAATTCTTGGATCTCTGACACCCTGTGTATGAACCCTGTAATGAGGATAATATGCGTCTGATATTATCCATAATTTAAACGGATTCTTTCATTTTTCTGGACTGAGTACTATCGTGCCTTGAATGATTAAATGTGGATGGAAACGTGTTTTATCTTTGACACACCACAACAGTGAGCTGTTTAATTAAAAACGATTTAAAACAACATCACACATTTACATTAATTGGCAGATTGATTACAATTAACACAGCTTAATTAATGAGCTTTACAATGAGAAATCATACGGCCATGATTTCTCACTTGCAACTGAAATACAACAGACATTTCTGAAAATATCTGGATTAATTACTGGCAGATAGAAGAGTTTTAAAGATGGGAAAAATGAAGTTTAAATGGAGAGAGATGGGTGAGGGAAAGTGTCTGTATAACCAGAAACAACACGCTTCTTTGGACGCAGCTTAACCCACGGTACACTAGCAGTTGAGATCGACTCTTTTACCTTTGCAGACGATAGTTTCGGCTTCGGTGTAGAGTTTTCTTTCAACTCTTTTCAGCGTCTCCGTAAGAACAGCTGTGACCTCAGGAGTCATGAGATCATCACAGAACAGACTTCCTCATTGTTCAGAGCGTTCGTCGGGTAGAGCCACAGCGAGACGTCGTGGCATCGACGGACTCTTGTCACTCCATTAGAAACTGCTCGGAACTTCTGTTCTTCTGAACTTCTCTCGTTCAGGAACTTCTCGTTCGAGGTTCTCCCTGGAACTCTGGTTCTGCTCTGGAACTCTTGTTCTGCTCACAGAACTTTGAACTGACTGGAACTAGGAAGTGTCGACTTTTTAAAGAGTTCACTTCCGGTCCCGTTTTGGAAAATCCTGATTGCTTGAAAGAACCAACAGGGGTGTGGTTTTAGTGACGTAAGAGGTTACTACAAGTCAGAAAAACATTGAGATGTTTTAAGAACAGACAGAGAAATGTTTTGAAGAAACAGAGACATTTAGGAGCCAGTCTCCTTCTATCTATCTGAGAGAGTTAAACATGACATTTCGTTCCGATAAACATGTTTTTGACCGTTCCTTGACTTTTGACCGACATCACAACTTGCTCATTTCAGACAGAAGATAAA